GCTTTTCAAAATCCCACTTACAAAAATAAATGAGACTTATGAGTTGTTACTAAAGATAAAGTCAAAGAAATAAAACTTTATTTTTAAATTAGATAAATTACGATCAGATATTAATAAATTAAAAACAACGATGTTTGTGTTATAACGCTACTCCATTATAAAATTTGTCAAAGGAAACTCTTAAATTCTGATAAGATGTAACGAAAATAACAAATCTCAAAAGAGCCGCCAAACATAATTCCTTTCACAAACGTCGCCGGTCACATTTTACCGAATCCCAAAAGTACATAAAAGGGATAAGCAAGAAAAATAATAACGCACCACGACAGCACCTCTAGCTAAACTCTGTGGCATCTTATGGGGTTATTAATAAGTGCTATTTTACAACAAAAAAGCCGCAATATTTCCTATAAGGCTGATACCTTCAGTACCTTCGTACAAATGACGCCGTTTCAGATCTGAACGAATAATGTGGGCCATACATCTCCCATACAACTTAATACAGTGCCGGATCAAAGACCCACATACGGGCCGAGCTTAGAATAAACCAATTATGAGTGAAATATTAGGGATCAGTCGTCCCGCAGCCTTCTTTGATCATTATTAGGGTCCCGCAGTTGTGGAGGAAAAACGGAAGTCGATCGTTGCGTTTTTGAGTATGTGTCCGTTTCTCTATGCAGTCAAGACCCAAGAGCAGAGCATGCGAGGAGCCTTATTTAATTTTGCGTACAGCAAATTGTCTTGGTAATTAAGTGTTTTATTATAATTAAGTTTCTATAATACGTGGACAGATATTTCTTTTTAAAAAGTATTCCTAACCATTGAACAATCCAAAATGTAAAATGTGAAATCAAGCTGCTTCATTAAAAAATTATAGGTATTTTTTACGTACAGTTGTCAGTCAGCACATTAAACAATACATTTTTATGGCAAAACATCATGGGAGATGTAAAACATCAGGTCCTTATTTGGTGTTCTTTATAAAAAAAAGTACGGAACCCTCAGTCCACGATCAAACTCGACCTCACCCAGCCGTTTCTTTCGCGAGAAAATGCGAAGCCACTAAAGGCGGGGAATAAGCGAAACTCTTAATAAATTACATGAATTGGTGGGCAGCACTAATACCCCCGGAATGGGAAATAAGCCGGCCATAACGTCGGTTAACTGCGCGTGCCGAGTAATCATTTTCGGACAGGATATTTGCTTCCGTATGCTGCTGATATACGGCGGCGCTTATTAAAGTAGGAGAGTATCAAAGAGAACGTGGCGAAAGATACAGACGTAGTACGGAATATGTTTGTGTTATGTGTAGTCCAATGTATTGGGCTTGTATGTAACTTTTTAAGGAGGAAGTTAAGATAGCCATGAATATCTGATGGGTGATTTACCCCATGTATTAGACGTAAGGAACCACCGCACAAATTAGTTTTTAGTACAAATGTAAATTCAATCTCGTGATTGATTTAACTGTAATGTTTTTGCAACGGTCTGATAATTAATACTGACTCCTAAATACACTTTTACTACTCTACACATTTTCCTACTTTATTAAAAAGAAAATGGATATCGAAAGGCTGCTAAAGAGGAACCTCTGGCTCTACTCTGCCGTTTTATTTTAAAAAAAATTTACTCAATAATTGTCAAATTTTTTTAGCTTTTTCAATCCGGACTGTCGACTTGTAAGTTATAACCACTAGGTTATCGACCACGAGAAATGCGAGCGTAAATAAATTACGATCGCGGTGAAAACGCGCACCGTTTTCAATTACACTGAAAGCCTGGGACGATATGGATATTTTCTAAATGGGAAAATAATCGAATTTCGACTGAATAATGAGAGGACCCTCGTCGGACGATGAATGGCAACCAGGAGAGATTGTCGACACAAAGGGTATTTAACTCGCACTTAGTACTGCTCGGCCAGCGTGATCAGACCCGCGGCTGACCTGTAGTACATCTCACGCTGACAGTATCCCATTCACTTATCTCTGTCGATCAGTAGGGTCTAGATAAAGACAAGGATACAGTTCGGTTCGTGACATCACATGCATAGAGTCCCAATTAAAATGGCCGAGTACTTTTTGTGCAAAGCCCCCCGCCGCGCGGATGCCCTTCCCCCCAGGCGATTATATTGCCGTTATCGTTCTATAACGTATGCAGAATAAAACATGTATTATCTCTATTGGCCGTATACGGCTCGCTCCTAATCCTTTGATTTATAGAATCCGCCTAAAATATAGCCGTTGGTCGCAATATATTTAAATTATTCCAGCAGTCAATTAACGCGATGGCTTTTACCGCGGTGTAGGTCGCACTCAACGGATTGGAAGCCGTTTATCGTGATGGTGTTTTAAGTGTTTGTTTGTTGTATTCTTTCATTTACAATAAATGTAAGTACGTACACCTTTTCGGAACATTTTTTCTTTTCTTACTGTATCTTGTCTACGAGTAAGTATTTTAGCCTGGGTCTAAAAAAAGCTTAAAAGCTGTCTAAAAAAGCTTACCTGGCCTTGATCAAAACCTCTGAAGCTTAACAACTTTTAATCGCAGTAATTGTTAATCAACCCACACTACCCAAAAGCTTAATCCCTCTATCATTTGTAAGCTCAGTCTGAAAATACTGAAATTAGATTAAAATGAATATTGAATAAAATATTTTTTAAATATTAATTTTTAAATTAAAAATTAGATAGCCTTAGTTCATTTTACATTTAATCTTCGTTTCAGGAAAAAGGGTCGTCATTTTACTTACTTACAGACTTAAGTAAAATTATTTTTACACAACTATTTGCGATAATTAGCAAGAAAGATTAATCAACATTTGTTAAAACAAAATTAATTCTTGTAACATAAATTAAAAGTTCAAAGTTTAAGTAATGGGTCTTTAAAGTAATTATCAAATTAAAAACAATTGAATCCAACCCAGGCAGCGCCGCGGGCTGCGGCTAGTTCACCAAACAGCCGTTTTCCACTCTACCGAGCTGATTGCGTTTTCAATTTAGACGTTTCCAGAAAAGCTTGCTCATGAGAAAACTTGTTTCATATGTAAAAGTCGACCCTCGAATATATGACTCTCTTTGCACAGTGCCCGCATACTTATTAGTGAAGTCAAACACACCTTTTAAAACTCCGGGAATATTTTAGGGAGATTCTATTTGGAGAGGAATGTTCCTAACATTTATTGATATAAATAATTTCGCTTTATTTCTGCGGTCAGCAAAAAGTCTGCATAGATGTTCGAGTTGAAACTTTTTTGTGTTAAAAAGAGGATTAATTTGGGTGTCTGCCGTAATACTTATTTACAATAATCCGACCTGGCGCATTCAAATTGTTGAAATAAATTACGCATTCAGCAAGAGACTAGTGCTGGATTATGTCTGCGAGAAGATTTATCGATGTTAGTAAATTTCCTTTTCATGTAAGCCGGCAGTTATTTACCTACCTTGATATCGAATGGATTCCCCACGGGCGATATTGTGTCTTGTTTAAGTTTATTTATAGTGCTTGATGTTTAGTAAGAAGTTGATTTCAATTTAGATGAATACAAACGTTTGTTCTGAGAGTGCTTCTGTTTGAAAGATTTTTATATTTTTAGAGACAAAATTACTTATTTCCTAAAATCATTGTTTTCATCGTGTATAGATAATAAATTCTACATTTCCTGTATAACCCTGAAAACCAATGATGTCATATCTAAATTTTTATGGGCGTAAAGGACCAAATTATCATCTAGTTGACTTGCAGTTAATCTCCATAAATAAATACGATGATATTTTTCATTAAAAAAAACACTTTTAAATTTACATCGTAAGTAGTTATCGGTAGCATATCGATTAAACTGACATCACTAGCACACCACATACTCAGCCCGTTTCACCACGCTTTAAAAATTAGGAGCATGTTCACTTACGCCGCAGACCCCTGTATAATCCCAAGGAACGCACCCTAATTATAAATACCTTTATATTTCACGGATATTTATTTTATCTGCACCCTTCAGGTATTCAACTTTTCTAATTAGACCCGCTTAAATGTTTTGCATATGGGTTCTTTGGCTAAATGTTGATGTTTGAAAAAATAACATTTTAGATAAAATTTTGCTAAAGCCAATTTACTTTTTACATTCCATTGCCGCTTTGGCTGAATTTTGAATTTGGAGGGTAGCAAAGATGTTTTGAATTAATTATAATTTTTGTTACTTTTATTTTCTAAAACACACTTCTATATTTTGCTTTGTAACAGTGATCATTAAAAGTTAAGGGTTAACGTAAAGTCTTATCCATAATACTTAATTGAAAAACGCGGCTGGATTTCTATAGAAAATAACAGTATTTTATTTTGAGCTTCGAAACACCGGAATAAAATTTTCAATCTTATAATATCGGATTTATATTTAGGAGATATTTTGACAAAATAATAAATACCTACATACAAAGAGATAAATAGACTCCTTTCTATATTCTTGTAATAGTACAACATAATACCTATTGTTAAGTATCGCCAATATACATAAGTTGCACCAAATAGCATTCCTTCCTACCCTGTCCGTCGTCAATCGCGAAGGGGGTGCCATAAAATTTGCATATTTCGACGGGAAATCTCACGATTAACATTTTTATTAAACAAGGATTAGCTTTAATCCTTTTTTATTCGACAATTAGAAGGTTATCGGGCGAGAGCTCGTAAAGAGTTGGACACCTATCTGTGTAATTAACCAAATTGCAGTAGATAAGAACGCCTTTAATGAGACTTGAGGAATATTTTTCTGGGGCTTTACAGAGTGTTAANCACCATATTGATAATGATATTGAGCATACATTTTTTTAAATACCTTCGCGAAGTAAAACTTCTGTACGTAGTACTTATTATTATTCTGTGGTAGTGTGCGCACTCCCATACATGCCCATACTGATCAACTGCCCGACTAAACTATCGGCCGACGAAAAATCAACGGTGTGAGCTTACTCTAACCTTTACTACAATCAAAACACAGCACGAACCTTTGATAGCCGCTCGCCCTAGCTTGCTGACCACCAGCTCGTCGTCATCCCGCACGTAGCACGTGGTATCGTCAGGGTCTCTTTCTCCGCTCGCTACCTGTAGAGCGCCCGACTGGATGAGGCTGCGTATGGAATCGTCGCAGAGCTGCTTCACGTCCACTTCCGAACTGTTGAGATGACGATTGTATGAGTTCTTTTGGTTAATTTCGTAGCACGTCCAGTCACAGTTAGCTTTAGGTCCTGGTTGCAGCATTATTTACAATGCTGCTTGTAGCAATAGTGGTAATATTTTCGTAATGTTTGTTAACGAAATGCGTGGTATAAGAAAGCTGCGTCAAAGCGATCACTCGGGCTCACTTCAGATTGTTCTATGGCCTCTATGCCCTTGCCTTAGTTATATGACAGCATATTTACCACTTAACCAGGTCACATCAATTTGAAAACCAATGAAAATATTTTTTATTTGGGTAAAGATCAAACATCAATTACTTCCTTGCTGGCAGCGTCCTAGACAGCAGCAGTTGCGACGCAGCCGCAAGTAAGCACGCCGCATAGTACCGGCTGCAGATTATGATGCTGCCTGTATAGTACCGGTCGCTATCAACAGTTACCTCCTCGCTAGCAGCGTCCTAGCCAGCAGCTCTCTCAGTCCAACGCGCCTGTGAGCCAGTAAGTAACCCGCCACGCAGCTTGTCGCATAGTAATGGCCGCAGATTATAATGCCGCCTGTATAGTACCGGTCGCTATGAACAGTTACCTCCTCGCTAGCAGCGTCCTCGCCAGCAGCTGTCTCAGTCCAACGCGCGTGTGAGCCAGTTTCAACGCAGCGGCGCTAAGCGCGAGCGCGGGCGCAGCCGGTGCCAGCTGGGACGCGGCCGCTAGCAGCCCGCCACGCAGCATAGCATAGTAACGGCCGCAGAATATGATGCTCTCGCCTGTTAGTACCAGTCGTTATCAACAGTTACCTCCTCGCTAGCAGCGTCCTGGCCAGCAGCTCTCTCAGTCCAACGCGCGTGTGAGCCAGTAAGTAACCCGCCACTCAGCACGCCGCATAGTAACGGCCGCAGAATATGATGCTCTCGCCTGTTAGTACCAGTCGTTATCAACAGTTACCTCCTCGCTAGCAGCGTCCTGGCCAGCAGCTCTCTCAGTCCAACGCGCGTGTGAGCCAGTAAGTAACCCGCCACTCAGCACGCCGCATAGTAGTGGCCGCAGATTATGATGCTGCCTGTATAGTACCGGTCGCTATGAACAGTTACCTCCTCGCTAGCAGCGTCCTAGCCAGCAGCTCTCTCAGTCCAACGCGCGTGTGAGCCAGTTTCAACGCAGCGGCACTGAGAGCGAGCGCGGGCGCAGCCGGTGCCAGTTGCGACGCGGCCGCAAGTAATCCACCACGCAGCACGCCGCGTAGAAGCGGCCACTCGCGCGCGCCGCAGATTATTATGCTCTCACCTGATTACAGTCACGTTAAATAAGCTTTTAAGGCTGAGGCTAGACTGGCGTAAAGTGTAACGTGTGTTTTGAACTGCTTATTTATCATTATGCACAACTACTAAAGTTGAAGCCACTAAACTCGATTGAAACGTTTATAACCCGCTTAAAAAATGTGATGAAAATTACGCTCATGTGCCTAAAATGTGGTAGACTAATGTGGCCACAGCTAAACATTGTAAATAGGAAAGGTAAATACGCTACAAAACCATTTAGATAGAAATAAGCACGCGAACATTGCAAAAAAAGTCAAAATTCTACATAAAAAAAAAAAACAAAAAATCTTAATAATTTCATACACTCAACTTTCAAACACCATCATGCATGTTAATTCAATAAATCATTAAAAATATAACCAACCTTCCTCGCACACGCCGGCGCGGCCCGCCCGGCCCACCATTTGGCGGTAGGCGGCTAGCGTAATGAACTCGCGGCCTACTAACGGCGCGCGCACGATCACGCGTTTTGCGGGTAGATTCACGCCCGCAGCTAAAGTTGACGTGCAGCATAGGACCGAGATTACGCCGTTTCTGTTTAGAAAAAGTAGTTTATGGGCAAGGCTGGTAGGGCACAAAAGATAGGAAACCTTTTTTCATTTTGTTTTTGACGTACTTAAGTGCCAAAATATTGGTCTAAGCTGAATAAAATAATTTTGATTTGATTTTGAAAGTTGGTCTTGGTTCCCTATTACAGTATTTATTCAAAAGTTACACACATAAAGTTACATACATTTCTTGGAATTAAGAATACACCAAGTCCATACGACATTGGCAGACATTGGTTTTCCTAAATAAATAAATAAAATAAAATAATAATGATGCACCAAAATACGATTGCCTCTTTGGCAGAAAGGCACTGGCACAGAAGAACCTACAGGATTATGCAAAACTTTTACATATTCCTCTAGGTTATTTATGTACCCTATGTATCTTTGTGTTGACTGTGACAGGGGACTTCCACAACTTACAGTAAAAGTTCTTACCTAAAAGCCTGCTCCAGCAGACTTCTCTCGTCGCCAGCGAGCCCGGCGTGGTGGAAGGCGATTCCGTAACGAACGGACTTTACTAAGTCACTGCTGGCTCCTTCAGCGCGCAACGCGCTTGCAAGAGATACGCGATCGGCTGTCCGGTGCAATGTCATTTCTCTGAAAGAACATAAAGCCTATAGACTGTTCGGCGACATTTATCTGTATTTTTTCATATTTTGTAAGTTATTGGTAAGTACTACACGTCGCGGGAGGTGCCTGGATGCGAGCGGCGCAGGACCGGTCTTTGTGGAAATCCTTGGGGGAGGCCTTTGTCCAGCAGTGGATGTCTTTCGACTGAAACGAAGGAAAGAACTACGGGAGTGCTGGACTATGGGTAGCCCTTTGATAGGCACAGCAAGAAAAATATTTGTTGTTTTTGTAACGTAATACAAAGCAATGAGGTTTAAAACAAGATGGCAACTATACGCTCCAAGTGTTGCAGCGTGATTCAGAGCTAATTGAAGACTGACGTTTTTATGAAAAGGGTAACCCTGAGACTTCAAGGGTTACATTTTATTGCTGCAATGGAAAGCCTTCTTCTAGCCCTTTACAGAGCACAACAAGTTCATAAATTAGGTAAAAAATATGGTGGGAATAATACAGGGTGTTAGGTAAATGGGTATATGAGCCGACACTAGCCCATGTTAACATGGGCATATAAATGATATGGTGAAGTCAGAAATATGATACCATCTTTTTTTTTTTATTTTCATACAAAATAAATTTTATTAAATCCGATTTGTATGAAAATTAAAATAATTAAAATGAAGATATCAATTTTCTGACTTCACCATACCATTTATATGCCCATGTTAACATGGGCTAGTGTCGGCTCATATACCCGACAACTGGACCCCTGTGACAACTCGACCCCTGCGATAACAAGATTAAATTAATTTTAACCTACTTTAAACGAAGCTCGACCCTACAAAAACTTGACCCGGACAACTCGACCCCTACGACAAGTCCAAAATATTCAACTATGATACTTATTGTAAACCATTTAGCTCCATCAATCAATGCCTGAACTGTATCTACAATAAATGCTCAGAGTAGTCGCAGGGGTTGACGTGTCACAGTGTTCGACTTGTCACAGGGTCACAAGTACAAGTTGTCGGAGGGTTCGAGTGGTCGTAGGGTTAAGCAGTCGTAGGGTCCAGCCACTAGCGGCGTAAGGGGGGGGCGGTCCGCCCCGGGTGCCACTCATCAGGGGGTGACAAGTCACGCAGATTAGTACTCACTGGCGCTAGTATCGAACTAACACCTTTCATTCATTCAATCGGTAACCCAAAAGAGGGGGTGCACCAGACGATTTTGGGGTGTCTTACCTCCCCACTATATGTATACCCAACTTACTTACATTAAGGACTTATGACGGGGGATGCTGTGCTGTGCTATGCCCCGGGTGCCAACCCATGCTACGCCGCCACTGTCCAGCAGTCGTGAAACCATTATTTTGAAGTAAGTTAAAAGTGTTGAGTGTTGAAAAAAATCAAGTTGGTCGAGTTGTCACAGGGGTCNTCTTACTTTAGAAGTCCTGTAAGTTTTAGGTATGATTCCTTAAGAAAATTCGCTAAATTTCGAGTAAATGCAGCAACAGTCAGAACATAGAGGCAAAATCTCGTAACGCCCGAAACGCACACTTTTCGACTCATATTTTCGTTATCCTACATTCTAAGCTGCACAAACTTTATTATTTAGATAAAACAGCTAAAAACGGACAGATTAAGGCACTAATATTATTAAAATACTAATTCAAAATACAAGAAATTGTTGAATATGTGTGTACGAACGTAACACCCGAAACGATGGAATGACCCTTTAGGTATACTACCTTAATTAACATATTGTTACAAACCAAATAATTTCATAGTCCCATTGTAAGTTTCTTGTATTTAGGCTAAGTTTTTATTCAATAAATTTATCTTATCTTATCTTACTTAGCGTTGGCGTCAGCGCCGTGACGAAGCTGCGCAGACGCTGGTGATACGACGACGTTCGATAGACGCTAGTGTGGAGTAGGCCTAAACCTATCTTTAATTTCCAAGTATTTACCAAGATACTTACTGCTAGCAAACATGGCAGTAGTGAGCAGAATTTCCAAGGTCCCACCTCGACCTGGTTCCCCTATTAGATGTAGCTCATCTACCTGTAAAAAATTTCACCTATAATAATGTAAATAACAACTGTGTGGTGAAAGACAAAGCTAAAAGAACTATAACATACCACAATAAGCCCAAGTTCGTCTAGCCGGTTCAACTCAATGAGGCTTCTGAGTAGAGCCAGCCCCTTCTCAATGGTGGCTATGTAAATGCTGTTCTTTTTCCTCCTCTTTTTGGGAGGCAAGTGACCCTTTCCTGCTGCATACTCCTCCACCAGAAAATCCAACTTTATTGCAAAGGGTGATAGGGCCCAAATCTGAATCAATCAAAGCAAGAATATAAAATGGAAAAACAAATTCTAAGCAAACACTAATGAGCATTTTCAAATATTAAATTGGTACTTACTTTCTCCTGCACAATCGCTACAAATGGAAGTATAAATAGGGCATTTTTTTTCCTATTCAATACTTCCCGGAGCATCAGCACCTCAGCTACAAGTGTCTTGCCACCGCTGGTAGGGAGCGCGTAGATCAGGTTACGCCTCTCTTTAATGGCATCAAGGTTCAAGCATTCTTCTTGCCAGTCTATAAAAAAAGTCCTAATAAGTGACCCATAGTAATCCAAAGTATGTAATTGTGATAGATGCTGCAGGTTTGTAAAGTTTACCATAGGTTATAGAATATGCTGTCTTAATCAGGATTTAAAATGAAGTCTCAAGTAATTTACTTCACATGTACTAAATGTCATTTCTTCATCAAACTTTCAAGAAAGATCACAAGAAAAGGATAAATGTTAATACTAACCATAAAACTTTTCAATATTCCTGTATGTCTTGAACAAGCTTTTTGTTACTATCGGCAGCCCATAGAACCCATTGTCACTGTTAATGTCTTTCATAGGAGTCTTCGGTTTTACAAACTCATGATTACTGTTTTTTTCATTTGTTATCATACCACTTTCTCTTATATCAAGTAAAAAAGAATCCCTAGTTTCAAATAATGAGCTCCTGTCTGATTTCTTAGTTTCTTCTTGTATACCACAAATGGATTGATTAACCATTTCAAAACTCTCCTCAAGATTATCTCTAAAATGCTTTTCATATTTTGAAGTTAATAATTCATTCATGTCTTGATTCTCTTCTGATTTTGTTTCTAGGCTTAAATCTAACAACTTACTACCACTTATAAAACTTGATTCTTTGAGCTGAGTATCAAAATCAGTCTGATTAATGCCTATAGGTAAATTTAATTGAGATTCTGGTTTTACCTGGCTCGATTCCTGCTCCAATCTGGACTGAAACATATCATCCGATATATCTTCAATTTCAGACACATTTTTATGAGCTGAAGCTTCGCTTTTGCACAAGTCATCCAGGTTAGTCGATGATAAAGACTCCCAATGTTCGTCATTCTTCTCAAAAACTCCAGGGGATGATGGGATGTCGCTGGAACTGCTATTTCGTGAATCATGCAGATATTTGATTTGGTTAGAAGGCAATGGTGGTGATTCACATACTTCAGGTCTAACAGTAGCAGTAACTCTTCGATAAATAGGGCTATGATTGGAAAGTAGAAAACTGTTTTCTTTATTAGGCTTAGTCACCCTCAAAATTCTACCTGTACCAAGTCGACGTCGTTTTGGTGTAGAAGTGTTTTCCTGAACACTTTCATGCCTGGAGCTCATTTTATTATTTGAATTATACTTATGGTACCATGTTTCATAATAATAATGGTACAGTTTTATAAAAATCCAGTAAAATGCCGGCAAAATACTAATAATTTCTGAAAAAAGTTTCTGTTTTCGTGCGCAAAATATTGTTGTTTTGACAAAACTTTTGACATTTCAATCTTTTTTTTTAATTCATTCACTCTGGATCGGCAAAGACATCAAGATCATACAGTTTTTTGTCTGCATTTGTTTCAGCAAAATGACGTCCACGGCTGGACAAAGGCCTCTCTTCCAAGAATTTCAGCAACGATCGGTCTTGCGCTGCCCGCATACAGGTATTTCCCTTACCAGCTGCAACCTTCACTAGATCGTTGGTCCACCTGGTTGGGTTTTGTTGGCGATTAAGCTGTAGGTCCTGGCTGTACAGGAGTTGCAGCGGTGAAAACGAGAGGTGGGAGGAATAGTCCCGTACATAGAATAGTAATAGTACCTAACACAGGGGTAAACCATACTTACACTGTGCATCAAGTCACTTTTCTGTGGCCTAAGTATTCACCAAGCAACGTTTCGCAATGAGGCAGTTTATTTTTTCCATTAATTACTTACGCTGACCAATATTATTTAATAGGCCTATTTCGCGGGACGCATCTTGATATAGGTAGATCAGAACAGAACCGGTCGTTGTAAAAATCCTTGGGGAAGGTTTTTGTCCAGCAGTGAACTGAAACTAAGTACAAATCAAAATACGATTGTACAAATACTAAAATAGTGTGTAATTTTTAACCACTGCAGCAACCTAATAGACGATTCACCGTATATGATGCATATTTTAAGGCTTGAAATGGTTTAGATTTTTGGGAATCGAACCCGCGACAGTTTGTGTCATCGTAATCAATACCTTCACTAACCCAGTTGTAGATGACCGTGGCCTATGTAGAAACTGTGAAGATCGTTTCATTGCTCCACGCTTTATGATTCTGGAATCGCATTCCACACAGTGTTGTTTATATTACGGATTAGTACTTTAAGAGTACCTAAGTAGGTACCTAGTTATTTACACTTTGCCTACCTAATAATATTACTTATATGTAGGACTATATGTACCCTTACCTATACCTGATACTATAGCGACCGTGTCTTGTTTTCTATCCTGAATTTGAGTGGTACTTAGCTCCGAATGATTGAATGAGGAATGTCTGACATCAAGTATTTCAATTTAGTCTTAAGTAATCTCACCCGTATAAAATCAACTTTCATTGCCATTGAGTTAGTTATCTACAAATGTATGAGATCATGTAGGACATTTACTTAGCTCAACAACAAACCCTGCAAGCGTCTTACATCTCCCAGGAGATCGTGCAGCCGCTGCACGGCATGCGGGAAGCTGCAGGCCTTCCGCCTTCTGCTTTCATTTCGCGGTGGGCATTGCACTTGCAGCGTGACGCGATCCGGGGGACTCAGAAACCGGAGCTGGCTCCTAATGGCGGCGCCGGCGCGCTAAATATAGCGCGGGGGGCGGGGAGAGAGAGCGCTGTGCGCGCGGCCGCCACTCGCCAGAGCCGCCCTGGTCGCCGCGGACTCCACATTCCAACGTCGCTGTGCTGCCGGTCTCCGTACCAGTGACTGAGTGACCGTCTTCTACCCGTGCGACGTAAGTGCAGTGATACAGTGAAGAGTGACTTTTGTGGTGGAACTCTCGGCGAAAGTGGTTTGGCTAAAAATACGCGCGCGCGCGTGGATATAGCAGCGCCATGTATAGAGCGGATTACGTTACGCTCGTAGCGGCTACGGGCTCGGCTGCGGAAACTACGTTAAAACTTATTTTTGTAACACAAACACACATACATGACACACATTTTACACGTTGCTGAAATTGGTAAAAAACTGTAAAAAATTGTATTTTACAAGAAACGTTGGAAAAAATGTATGAAATGTAAAGAATTCCAAAATTCCATCTCTGAGATAAGACTTAATTTAACTCAATATAATCACTGTAAGAAATCAAAACTCTATCAGAATTCTATCAGATTGTTTTGAAAAGTTTAGTAAAGTTCTTTAAAAATCGGACATCAATAAGTATCGCTTTAGTTCTTTTAATCTGAGATAAAAAAATGTTTCCCTATTACGTTCTAATGAGTGTTTTTTACCTAAGTACACCAAAATATGTAAATTATCATGTTTTCATGTTTATAAAATTACAATTCTATGCTGAGAAGCTTTTTGAAAGCTCTTCATGGAAAGTTGACCTATATTTTCCATATAAAACGATCGGATCATACATAATTAAAAAAAAAACTTGCGGAAGCCCTTATAAAATAAGGTAAAAAGAATAGACAAGGGTGAAACTTTCTAATACCACTTAAATACCTATCTAAAAAAATTTTTTCTAATGAACAACTTTCAAACTTGTTATCCAAACTGGATAAAATAATATTAAAAAATATAGATAGTCCTAAATATAATAAATAAATGTATTCTGTAATTTAATTTTGTGCTACTCTAAAGATTTTAAACGTTACTTAAATAAAATAAAATATGAAACATAAACCATAGTGGAGGAGGCTCATAGTCCAGCAGTGGACTGTAAAGGGCTGTTGATGATGATGATGATGATGATGAAACATAAAATAATGATACAAAATGAAAAATTATTAAAATTTTTTCATTGAACAATTTATTTGAAATTGATAAAATATCTGGTAGTAAAATATAATTCGGCACTTTCGCGCTATAAATATTTTTCGGAAAATCTTATGGAGCAGTCACGTCTGTTGCCACGCAGCTGTGTCGCGGGTTCTAAAAAAATTCAAGGCTCGGCGAAACCCGAGTCTGGCCGGAGCGCAGCCATTTTTGCGCTTTCGTTGAACCGCTGCCAACCGCCGTAGGAGTGCGTAATGGCGCGAAAGCTAACCCCGCCAGAAATATCACACATAAACAATACGTTTCCCCGTTCACGGGTGGCCCACGCGAATTTTTCACGTTGGCAACGATGCAGGAATGCAGCGTTACATGAGCGATAGCGATTCGCGATCTACGGATATAGCGATTTGATTATCAGATAAAACACAATAAACATGACACAGATATGAAATGCAATGAAACCGAGATAAACAAGAAATCCAAACAGAAACAAACTCGATTGATTGATGCTCTCAACATCAACAAAATTGAGTGATAGTTCACGTCGCTCACGCTTAGAGTATTTGAAGATGATTCTCATAAACTGATACATGCAAAGTTCAATGATGAATTTAAAACCCAATTATATTACAACAATTTATCATGCAACAAGTTTCTATCTGTATAGTTAGAAAGAGAATAGAATCGACGCAATCAAAATGCATAGTTTCCGAAAATAACTTGATGCGATGCCAATCCGAGATTGATAGCGTGCGAGTTGATTGTAAACAATGTCCGTCGCTTATAAATGGTTCGCCACAACATAAATAAACACTTTTCTATCTAACACAACACTCGACACTAACATATATTTTTGTTTTACAGAATAAAAAACTACCAACATGTCTGACGAAGAAGAATACTCGTAAGTATCATTTCATAAGGCACAATTTTTAAAGTTACATACTACATACAGTACATAATTCAGAGAACACAATTTACACAACGTTAGAATACCCTTGTACTTTAACTTGCATAATTTATGGTCACCAAGTGCTAACATACATTGATCACCCTATAGTCATTTGTTTTTATCAAATTGTCCTAGTGTTGTACGGTATGTAACTGTTTTTCTGTGTCAAACCTTCTGTTAACCTTTGCGTGTGTTCCACAGTGGCTCCGAAGAGGAGGAAGTAGAAGAAGAAGTCCAAGAGACGTAAGTGTTGCAGCCGGCTGCTCTCGACCTGTCCTACCGAAATTTAGTTCTCTCTAGAAACTGTTTGGTTTTGAACACTTCAGCTTCTCTGCGCCTGGTACCTACTTTGCCTCGGCGATTCTACTTTCCAAAACTATTAGACTCATATAGACCGTCAAGTTTTAGTTTCTGGTTGATACGGTGTGAAGGATTTGAGGCATGGCCGCGACTTGGTCCCGTTCTCTTCGGTCTCCCAACTCTTGGGCTTTGTGCACGCCCTCACCAAACCCTCTTCTCTCTTTTGTTGCAGGAAGTAAGTGGCGTGCCCTTTTGGTTGATCCGGCACTTACACTCGCTTGGCTCATTCTAGGCTAAGGGTAGCGCTTGTCTAACGCTTCTAGTGCTAAGTCGAACGCTTCTGTTGCTTACAGACTCACCGCGAGCCTCTAAACGCTGCTGCAATTAACGCTTATTAATGTGGGACATTTCATTAACCAAGAGTCGAAGATGCGCGACTCTGATAGAAAAGATCAGCCCATCTCACGTAAGTAGCGCTGGTCTTCCTGACGTCATCGGAATCATTGTCCTGTTGTGTGACTGATAATGGAGTGCCGTTGTGGTCCGTCTGCGCTGTAACATAATGTTCGCTTCTTGTACCTTCTTGTTGTCATTTATTCAACATCTGGATATATTTTAATCGATATTATTTTTTTCCACCTGCCGCTGCCTTCGTTGCCGACCACAGACCCGCTCCTAAACAAGAGTAAGTACCTCAAACCAAATATCTCAGTAAACGCTTTGCTTCGGCATACACCTGTATGTTCTTACATTGGAATGATTGGCGTTAACTGACAAATTACAAAAATACGAATGATCTGTATTTTAGGTTCTTCAAAATTCTAAAAGTTACAATAGCTATTAACGCAGTGTTTGTGTCGTGGGTGAGCAGATAATCGTTTCACGCTTAAGTTTCTTTTTGAGGCCTTTTTGTTTACCAGTCAACGAATCAAAAGCGTAAGTCCAAAATCGTACTAAAGTTACAAGTATCATTGGCGATCGTTTGGTAAATAAAAAGGTGTATTGCGAAAACTGTAGTTTATTGCAAAGATAAGTAGAGGCTGATTGTCGTTTTCTGTTTCTAGGAGTAGACCATCGATCGCGTAAGTTGCACCGCTCTCTGTGGTGTCACTAACTATAATCCAATCATTAACACAGTGAGGCGCGGGCGCACAGTTTACGGCCGTTCCCCAGATTCCAGATTGATCGCATCCGACCAGTTGACCGGTCGAAGCGTATAACCGCACACGTAGCTATTTATACCGCCGGTAGCCGTTCTATTTTGGCACTCGCGCCCGCGCCGCTCTACGATACAAGATGTCGGTCAACAGACCGCCCGAGTTGTCTCGGCGTATTCCTGGGCTGCATGAAGGAATAGCATGACATCTGAGCATGATTACCTAGTAATATACATAATCATTATATGTGTATCTGTGAAACGTTGTCGTCACCTGTATCATTTAGCGAAACAAACAAACAAATAAACAAACCATATACAATTACAATACACTACACGTGCTTTAGTCGTAATAAATAATGCCAATACACAATAGATGTAATAATAGCTTACTCGAAACGATCTAAATTTTAATACCAGTAGTTAGAGGAATCTACAAACGAAAAAACTGACTTAGTTTTATTTTAACAATTTTATGTTTACATTACAGACAACATCTAAAATTTTAACAATATGTATGTACAGAAACAACCTAAAATTCCTGTTTAGACGCTACTAAAAGAGCGTTAACAGAAATCTGATAATTCTAACGAATTTATAAACAGACTGTTAAAACTCAATCACCGTAACAGACGTTATATTTGTATGTCGGCCGTTGTACAACGGTGCCTAACATTAACACAAGGTCGCGCTGAGGCGAGGTAACTAATCGATTCCGTTATTTCCTCAGGGGCGAGGGAGATCCAGAATTCATCAAGGTAAATATAGTTTACATGTTTATTCTACTACACAATTTGTAAATGTTTGATGCCGTTGCCAAAAACTAACATTTTCCCATTTGATTGTAATAGCAACCTGTAAATATTTCCAAACAGAATAATAAAAAAAAATCCTTTGGCAATAATCATTTAGAGGCATTCAAAAAAATAAATACTTTCTGAGTTTCAAAAGTACCTAAAAGAATCTATTTCCTAGTTCCCGAGATCCTATATTCTACCAGTAATTAATTTACCAACTCTTGTTCAACAGCGTCAAGATCAGAAACGGTCGGACTTGGACGAGCAGCTGAAGGAATACATTAACGAATGGCGCAAACAGCGGGCCAAGGAGGAGGACGAGCTCAAGCGCCTCAAAGAGAAGCAGGCTAAGCGCAAGGTAACATTTTCATACCTCGATGATATGATAGTATTTTCCTAGTCACTTGGAAGACATAAGTGCAACTTCAATTAAAATGTTGTTGGTCTAATTTTCGCAATTGAAAAGACGTTTCTTATCACCTTTTAGCTACAGATGAAACCCTTTTTCCCAACATAAACCAGATATCCCAACTAATATTATAAATGCGAAAGTAACTCTGTCTGTCTGTCTGTCTGTCTGTTACGCTTTCCCGCTTAAACCTCGCAACCGATTTTGATGAAATTTGGCATAGATATAGTTTGAGTCCCGGGAAAGAACATAGGATAGTTTTTATCCCGGTTTTTGAAACAGGGACGCGCGCGATAAAGTTTTTCTGTGACAGACAAAATTCCACGCGGGCGAAGCCGCGAGCGGAAAGCTAGTTAATAATATACCACAAATTCTAGGTATCTCGCGCTGAAGAAGAGAAGCGCCTCGCCCAGAAGAAGAAGGAGGAAGAAGAGAGGAGAGTCCGCGAGATTGAGGAGAAGAAACAGCGCGACATCGAGGAGAAGAGGCAGCGGCTCGAGGAGGCCGAGAAGAAGCGCCAGGCTATGCTCCAGGCCATGAAGGAATCTAGCAAGACCGGACCCAACTTCACCATTCAGAAGAAGAGTGATAACGTGAGTATACGAACTTATTAGACAGTGCAACCCACAAGAGAAGAGAAAAGTACTAGAAGTGTGATGATTAGAACTTTCGTTTGTTGTCCAATTTGTAAAATTTTGGAAATTAATACAAAGTCACAACAAAATGGTTCTTCGTCTTCGTTTCAGCCGAAAGAAGTCCACTGCTGGACAAAGGCTACCCCCAAGGATTTCCACAACCGGTCCTGCGCCGCTCGCAAACAAAATGGTTATTGGGCTATAAACGCCTATGCTACTAAAAGAACAATATCAATATCGGAAATCCAGTAAAGAGACTTTAAATTCCATAATTTATTGCCCCATAAGGCCACAATGTAGAATTTCTGAAATAAAAAAAGCCATAGTAAGAAGTCACTTGACTGACAGCAAATGCAAAAATAAGAGAAACTAAAGAAAATGATTTATTCAACATGACTCNGGCATAGAGATAGTTTGAGTCCCGGGAAAGAACATAGGATAGTTTTTATCCCGGTTTTTGAAACAGGGACGCGCGCGATAAATTTTTTCTGTGACAGACAAAATTCCACGCGGGCGAAGCCGCGGGCGGAAAGCTAGTTAATAATATACCTCAAATTCTAGGTATCTCGCGCTGAAGAAGAGAAGCGCCTCGCCCAGAAGAAGAAAGAGGAAGAAGAGAGGAGAGTCCGCGAGATTGAGGAGAAGAAACAGCGCGACATCGAGGAGAAGAGGCAGCGGCTCGAGGAGGCCGAGAAGAAGCGCCAGGCTATGCTCCAGGCCATGAAGGAATCTAGCAAGACCGGACCCAACTTCACCATTCAGAAGAAGAGTGATAACGTGAGTATACAAACTTATTTGCCAGAGAAGAGTAAATTAGAGCGCCATTGGATGGCAGTGAAAATCCCATTATTTGTTGCCCCCATGTCCCTATTAAATGCGTAAAATTTTAGAAATAATAACTTAGCTACAGTAACAAGTTATTTAACTGTAAACGCTAAAGCTACTAAAAGAAAAATATCAATATAAGGAGGAATATACAGTAAGGAGATTTTAAATTCCATAATTTGTCCTCTTAAGGCAAAATTTCTGAAATAAAAACAAAGCCACAGTTACAATAAGTCATTTGACAGCAAATGCAAAAGTATAGTTCCAAAATACTAAACTGTCCTATCCATGACATTGACAGCGGGGCGCCACCGTCTATACCGGATCGCTGGTTCCGATTTTTGCCATGTTAGAAACCATATAGTTGAACGATGGTAGCACCCCCCTGTCATTGAGTTTGGTGGGACAGTTCAGCGTGGGTCATCTATAAGAGAGAATGCTAAAATAATTTATTCAATGTGACTTTCCCCTTACAGTTCGGCCTCAGCAACGCTCAACTGGAACGCAACAAGACCAAGGAACAGCTGGAGGAAGAGAAGAAGATCTCCCTCTCCATCCGCATCAAGCCCCTCAACATCGAGAACCTCTCAGTGGACAAGCTCAGAGTCAAGGCGCAGGAACTCTGGGAGTGCATCGTCAAACTCGAGACCGAGAAATACGATCTCGAGGAGAGGCAAAAAAGGCAGGACTACGACGTGAGTACCCGTTGTTTCACATTACCTTAGATAAATAAGATAATCCTTATTTATCTATGAGATTTGTTTATGATTACTACTTGAGTGTCACTCGAATTTTTGTCATTAGCTCCCTATAGTATCTTTTCAAGCCCCGCGAATAAAGACACAATAGATAAAATCAATTGTTACACAGTCATTATGTGACCGCTTGGGGATTGATGGCCTCTATGTTAATACTAATGTTAACGCGTGGATATACACGGAAATTTTTGGTTCAATCATTTATTGAAGACCGAGATTGAATCAAACTTTTTACCCTTGATAACACCGAATGTTTGAACTGTTTACATGTTTATGGAACTAATGAATTGTCTTTTGTCAACAGTTAAAAGAGCTCAAAGAAAGACAGAAACAACAGTTGAGGCACAAAGCCCTAAAGAAGGGTCTCGACCCTGAAGCCCTCACAGGCAAGCACCCGGTAAGATCTTATATGAATCATACATTATTATTTTAGTTTAACTTCAAAGGAAATCGAGCCTAACAAATACTTTAATTTTCAGCCCAAAATCCAAGTAGCGTCCAAGTATGAGCGACGTGTGGACACACGGTCATATGACGACAAAAAGAAACTCTTCGAGGGTGTAAGTATAAATACTCTGACATGATACAAAACAATTACTTATACAATGGTTAAATTACATTTGAGTGTTCTGTAACGGAACATAAAATTAAACATTTTGATAAATCAGCAATCTTATGATTAGAATGTGATATGACACAGGTCAGATATGAATTCATTTCAGAAATTTGATTTACTTTTCTATTCGATAATGTTTTTCTATAAAATATATCTATAAACCATATGATAAATAAATAATACAACATGATCCGTACCCCCATAAACACACAAATAAAGACAATTTAATTCAAAGCAATTTAAATACAGGGTTTAGATACTCAAATGGCCGAGTTCATGGATAAGTTGTGGAATGACAGGATGACCGACTTCATGAACCGCACCAAAAGTAAGCCGGGCCCGTTGACCCCCACGCATGTCGACATGGCATGTCTGTTACGATATACCCATTTTTAGACCTCCAATGTTGTATTTAGGACCCTGTGACGCATTAGATTCATATTTGATCGTAAAACTTGTTCTTGTAACCGGATATGCTTTTGTTTATCGTAAGATGTAATGTTTCGATGAAATAATATCTGTAAAGGTGCTTCCTCACCGGGAGATGTAACATTATTTATTCGACTTTGAGTATTACATTAGACCACATTCTATTCAGTGTATTGCTCACTAATGTATTGCTCGAACCTTAATATTGAATGGAACTAAGTACCAATTCCAATGGTTTTACGACCACTAAATCTGAGTCTACTGCGTCATCATACGAATACAATTGCCAACACTGATTGGTGATTGATATTTGGTAGCATCGCACGTCCAAGCCTGCAAGCCCTCGAGCCCTGTGTAACCTTCATGTATTCACCCTCGTGTTAACCATTCCCCTAGGACCTAGAGAAACTCAACAAGGACTTCCTTGAGAAGGTGTGGCAGGAGAGAGCCGACCAGTTCGGCGGCAGGCAAAAGAGTAAGTACTTTAACCTATATTTGGATACACCATGAATCTATTTTGGAACCGATCTTTAAAGCATGAAGATCAAAGATGGATGGTTCATCCAAAAATAGAAAATATTTTTAATTTAAAATATCCTCCCCATTCATTGATTTGTATGATTGCACGTTGCAAGTATAGTTTTTCTGAACGTTATTTTTCCTTCTTGAGTGTCAATGTTTTACCACTTTCTACAGAATTTGTCTTTCCCGATATTTAATGTGTATTATCCACACATTATTTATAACTCCTCTCTGATTTCGAGGAGGAACACAGCGAGCTCTGGGTTTGAATTCCAGAAACTCAACATAGAGGAAAAATTATTACATAATTTCTTTAACAATAGCTAGGCTGAACCTGTAGTTTAAAAAGCACAGATTTGCCTGCTCTTAAAATGTAAGGCTACTGCCCGAAGCTGTTTCCATATCTTCGGATCTATCCATGTCACTAAATTATAAGATGATGTTGGCATGAGTGACAAACCCGAGCTAGTCAAAACAACAGAAAGAAATTCCTAAACGACTAAGGCGGTTATCACACTGCGCCGCGCTCCGCCGCGGAGCGCGGTGCGACAGATTTAATCATTGTATGCAAGTACCTCAGTTTGTTTAGAAAACACGCGCGGCACTTCACACTGACAACGCGTCCGCGCGCGTGTTTTTTTATTTGAAAATCACGCGACGGAGCGCGGCGCAGTGTGATAACCGCCTAACATTCACTTAAACACTTCACCATTTCTTTACTACATCAATAACTTTAACCCGTACAGCGAGACTGCCCAAATGGTTCGGAGAGAGGCCCGGCAAGAAGAAGGGTGACCTGGAATCGCCGGAGGGCGAGGAGGACGTGAAGGCCGAGCCCGAGGACGACGAGCCCGCGTACGAGCCCGAGCCCGAGGAGGAGGAGGAGGAGGTCGTGGAGGAGGAGGAGGAGGAAGAGGAGGAGGAGGAAGAGGAGGAGGANTCACACTGTATTCAACTGCATGCAGTCGTCTGCTGACTTTGTCAAAGAGACAAGGTTCAAAATATAAAAACTATCATGAACTTTGTTCCCATACAAGTAAGGTAAGTTTACAACTAAAAATTGTATAACAACTTTTAATTTTTATTTATACGTGGTGTTAAAACAACTATGAGCAATATTTTGCAGGGTTTAGGAGCTTCAAACTGTGATACTAAACAACTTGTTTAAAAAAACGTGGGTCGAAATATGAAAAATATTTGGACCTCCCATACAAAGTTCATGATCGTTTTTATATTTTGAACCTTGTCTCTTTGACAAAGTCAGCAGACAACTAAAGCCCGGTCTGTGAGCACGTAGAATTTTGTCCAATGACCCCAAGCTACCCATCCTTATCGCTCGCGCGTAATTGTATTGCTGTCGCGACTGTTTGACGGGCGCCTGCAGTGAGTGTGCAAGCGCGACGGCAACATAATTACGCGCGAGCGATAAGGATGGGTAGCTTGGGGTCATTGGACAAAATTATACGTGCTCGCAGACCAGACTATACATGCAGTTGATATAGCGACTGCGTGAGGTTTTGTGGTGCAGTCCGTGTGATAAAGGCCGTCCGTTCATAGCTATGCAGTGCGTGGGGGAATACTTAGGCTGTGCTACGCAGCAGGGATGGGCGCGGCGGCAGCGGCCGGCTTGGCGGGCTGCGCCTTCTGCATCAAGTTGATCTTGTCGCCCAGGCTCAGAGCCATGCCCTGGAAACATTCGTCATTCTTGTAAGATTTAGGTACGATGTCCATTGACCGGCGCGTGGCGGAGCGCGTCAAAGCGCACTTACACGGCCGTAAAGAAAATAGTATTTTATTAACAGTTCTTAGAGTCGTAATTGCTTACAACTGATTAACTGACATTTCAATCCGGACGAACATGAATGACAGAAATGTCACTTAGATTAACAACAAATAAAAATCTTCATTTTATCCGTATACATTATGACTAATGAGGGACTGATTCTGATTAGTACATTTTTACAAATGAGGGACCGTAGTGAGCTGTTGACAGCTGTGAATTAATAAGTTATGTATTCGATTTTTTTTTAATGTTTGTGATACGGTTCGCGAATGCTCTGCAGCAATGTCAATATAAATTAATTTATAGACTGAATTAATTAGAAGTAACAATTCGAATTAATCACGTGACTTTGCAGCAATAACACTAACTCTGGGTGCAGGTGCCATACTCCGCTTAGCCGGACTGTGGAAGCTACATACCTGATTGTGGATGCCAAACTTTATTGGCTGTGGAAGCTGTACTCATTTGAGTGTGAATGCTGTTCTCTTTTGTCGTGAGTTCTGTGTTCCCCTAGCTATATGCGCTATATTCCCCTGGCTTTGTACCAGAGTAAATACAAATGAGTAGGTCATCTTCATAGAAACGCACCGAGCGCGGTTTGTATGTGAGCGCGCGCCAATACTTATGCGGCGCGCACGCACACACTGACAAAATTCGGCGCAACACCCCGCTAATCCACGCTGATTCCGCTATTTACTCTGTTTGTACCAGGGATGTTATGGATATCTGTAACCGTAACCGAAACTTTCGGATATCCGAAATAAAAAAATATCAGAAACCGTAACCGAAACCGGTATAATATTATTCCTATATCCGTAACCGTATCCATATCCGAAACTACATATCTTTAACATCCGTAGTTTGTACCGACCTGGCTCTTGGCGCGGATGCGCACGTGGCCGACGACGGGCGCGCGTCAGTTTCGCCGCCATGAAGCCACGTTCCCCTGGCTATAGGAGCTGTGTTCCCCTGGCTGTACCGACCTGGCTCTTGGCGCGGATGCGCACGTGGCCGACGACGGGCGCGCGTCAGGTTCGCCGCCATGAAGCCACGTTCCCCTGGCTATAGGAGCNATCACAATAACTAATTTGTTTATAAATATTACACATTCGAGTAAACCTAGCGAATGTGTACTGTCTGTTTTGATTGTGCTATGTGGCTATCATGGACGACGTGCTGTCACTACTCTGCCGCAACACAGTTTTATTACTAGCGCGGAGGGTAGTTGTCAATCTCGCCTACCAATGTACTACATAAATTTTTAACATGTACCTTATTTAACATCACGTTTGTGTTTTGGACAAATAAAGTTATTATTATTATTATTATTATTTTAATTTTCATACAAATCGGATTTTATAAAACTTATTTTGTATGAAAATTAAAAAAAAAAAATGATGATATTAAATTTCTGACTTCGCCATACCATTTATATGACCATGTTAACATTGGCTAGTGTCGGCTCATATACCCATTTACCTAACATCCAGTATAAGCGATGGTGGACGAGGAGATCCGTAAACGAACTAAAGTCGCTGACATAGCCCGACGGATTAGCAAGCTGAAGTGGCAGTGGGCAGGGCACATAGTACGCAGAACTGACGGCCGATGGGGCAGCAAGGTTCTGGAAAGGATGCCGCGTACCGGAAAACGCAGCGTGGTACGTCCACCCACAAGGTTGGTAAGGCTGATAAGGGTAGCAAGAAGGCGCTGGATGCAGGCCGCTACCAACCGTGCGATGTGGAAGTCATTGGGGGAGGCCTATGTTCAGCAGTGAACGTCCTGTGGCTGAAATGATGATGATGATGGTTGACGAATGACGAGCTAAATTCCACCAGCCCCCTTTCATCACCGGGGAACCAGACGCAGTTTAGCGTACCATCCCTATATTGTCGACATTCCACCAACTTGCACTAAGCGTTTCGATGACTCTTTTCTAATGCGAACAGATAAGCACTGGAATCCGCTGCCTGCTGCTGTCTTTCCCGAAGACTATAAGCCGGGCCTTTTCAAGGCGAGGGTGAATATGAATTTACAGGGCAGATATGTACTATCCTAGACTGCATCCCACTTAACATCAGGTGCGATTGTGGTCAAATACCTGCCTTGTTATGCATAAACAATGATATCCTTGTGACTTTTGTTGCCCTGAATTAAGGTCCAAAACAATACAGAAATATTTGTCCGGGTAAGGGTTTATACAGTGAAGCAATCTCAATGTATAGGTTAATTTTGTGCCGCCACTTTCCGATGTGTCTGGGAATATGAGTAGGAGAAAGGGTGAGCAACGACAAGGGAATAGGAAAATAAGAGATTTTAATGTACAGTCGCGGAATGAAAAGGTTCGTCACCTTAGTGTCGGTTTTCGCTTGCACTAGCTACTGTAAGAGTCAAACCTGCCAACATAACAGTGCTGCTAACATTTAAATAAATATGACGTTTGCTAACGAATAAGGTTTTGCTTGTTTATTTTTCTATCCCATCAGTGCAATGCAATGATGACATTGACCAATTGACAATAGTTTTTTTTATTTAATAGAAATAATAATGGCAGGTTGAACCAACAAGAGGGTTTTAGTTTATCAATCATAATAATCTTCTTGACAAGATAAACCGTCAAACAACTTTGATCTGAATAATTTTGAACAAGATTATTTCTCTAACTCGAGATTATTCTGTAACATAGTTTCAAAGGTAATATGTGCTCGCGATTTGTTGAAGGAATCAATTTGAAAACTGACTAACCTTTTCATTCCGTGACTGTACATGTGTAAAAGAGATAAAAGGAGTCTGACAACTTAATGAGCATATAAAGAAGTTTGAAGGACCGAGTGAAGAGAAAACAAATAGCATCGACGAGAGCAATTTACGATAATTACAATGCTTTTACTCAAAATCACCTCATTTTAGTGACACGCCGAAAATGTAGTTTTACAGTTGATTAATTTGAAATGATGCTAAGTTACTTTATCTTTTGTTTCAGATACAATGATCCAGCCGCCAGGGAAGCCAGACCGCCGGCCGCGCGCCGGCCCGTACTGTTTTGTAACCAATCCATTAACTTATTATTATAAATTATTTTTATTATTTATACTGTTGAACGCTCGTTACGGAACATGCACTGCTTTTGCACGCGTCGCGAACATCTGTGACACACAATAAACTAATTTATTTCATAAGGCTGTCGACTTATTTATTTTACCCAGGTTAGTTTAAAACACGATGCTTTACTAGCAGTCACCTACTAAATACTATGTCCGTTCAGTAAAAAAGAAATCGTACGCGTGATTGCTATATGCATAGCAATAGTAGTGCTGAGAAAAGCGCCGCAACATACTCAGTCCAGAGATAAATACTATAAAAGAGTCACACGTAACAAGGTATTTTAATAGATACTCTGTTGTACTTAAAATTTATGTTTATGACTATGGAAATATCAATACACTAATCACCTTGGACTGAATTCAAAACTTAATAGCGTTTAAAACGAGATATTGATGCTGCCTTTTCGATATCAACACCAAATCCAATTTGGCACAACGCCTAAGTATTAAATTTATACAGGATGTATTTCAAATTTTCAAACGTGTGATATTGAGGAAATGGTTTCGATCTAAACAACATTCGCTATGGAAACACTGAGAATGATAATTTTCACGTGCAAAACCGTGGTCGCGCAAAACGTTTGTCACGTGCGAGACACATAACGTGGCAATGAGAACATACCTTTTTATTATCCCGATAGCAAAGCGTCCGCAAATATGGCCCAAATTAAATAAACACTCTGTGTACATATCAGCCCATTGCCAATGCCAAATGAGACGGGCTAATGACATTATGACACGAGTAATACGATACGAAAGTTTACAAGGTCAGTCGACTGAACGCCAAGTCCCCATCCAGAGTCAAATTACGATCCGAATAATGATATTCATAACAGAACCATGTTTATATTAGCATACATGTTAGTATCAGGATGGAAGTTAAAATAGATACTTTAAAGAAACTATCATTCAGGTCATAACTAGTGTATTCAATCATAATAATATAATATAATTTTAAAATAATGTATAACTATAAAATACACTACTTGATAACTATGAACGAAAGACTTCGAAATCACCTCTTCACTTTGTTTAAGATGGAATTAGGAATGTCAAAGAAAGTAACAGAACATCTGTAATGAAAGCGCAAGAGAAGATACATCAGCACCTGCTAGCTTCAATTGAGTGCTTAAAGTTAACTTTTAAAACATGGCAACATCTAAATCAGTCGATAATTTGTGTATTTTGTCTGGGAAGGCAACACTCGAGCCGATAGAGATAGTAGACTAAGAGCTAGTGAACGCCAGACCTACGTCATTTGATAAAAGCGAAAAGTTGGTCAGCGCATGCTCCTAATATAGTTTAGAAAGTTGGTGCATCATGAAGTTGGGGTCATCGTGGCTTTGGCAGCTGCCTTAAAATAATTGTCTGGCAAGGAGTTGGAACGGTCAAAACTAGCTAGCTGATGAGGAAATAACTTCTCATCGTTTCCCAAATATTATACATAAAAATCAGATTTTATGGTAACATAAGTAGAATTACAGTGTATTAAATATACAGAAAAAGCCACCGTTAGGCTTACGTGCACTGACAAACTCAGCTTTTATTAAATGACGTAGGTCTGGCGCTCACTAGCTCTTAGTCTGACATCACACGGATTGCACCAGAACAACCGCACGCAGTCGCTATATTCAACTGCATGCAGTCGTCTGCTGACTTTGTCAAAGAGACAAGGTTCAAAATATAGAAACTATCATGAACTTTGTTCCCATACAAGTAAGGTAAGTTTACAACTAAAAATTGTATAACAACATTTAATTTTTACTTATACGTGGTGTAAAAACTACTATGAGCAATATTTTGCAGGGTTTAGGAGCTTCAAACTGTGATACGAAACAACTTGTTTAAAAAAACGTGTGTCGAAATATGAAAAATATTTGGACCTCCCATACAAAGTTCATGATAGCTTTTATATTTTGAACCTTGTCTCTTTGACAAAGTCAGCAGACAACTAAAGCCCGGTCTGTGAGCACGTAGAATTTTGTCCAATGACCCCAAGCTACCCATCCTTATCGCTCGCGCGTAATTGTATTGCTGTCGCGACTGTGTGACGGGCGCCTGCAGTGAGTGTGCAAGCGCGACGGCAACATAATTACGCGCGAGCGATAAGGATGGGTAGCTTGGGGTCATTGGACAAAACTCTACGTGCTCGCAGACCAGACTATACATGCAGTTGATATAGCGACTGCGTGCGGTTTTGTGGTGCAGTCCGTGTGATAAAGGCCGTCCGTTCATAGCTATGCAGTGCGTGGGGGAATACTTAGGCTGTGCTACGCAGCAGGGATGGGCGCGGCGGCGGCGGCCGGCTTGGCGGGCTGCGCTTTCTGCATCAGGTTGATCTTGTCGCCAAGGCTCAGCGCCATGCCCTGGAAACAGTCGTCATTCTTGTAAGATTTAGATTAACAACAAACTTTTTTTTTATCCACAACGAGAAAGCTCTTGGCCTGTATCTCACCTGATGGTAAGTGACGATCAGGCCGAAGGCGGAAGCGAGCTTCACCCGGAATCCTCAACCACGGAGGAACTGGCTATCTTACCTCTAACTGCCGGAACACAACAATGCTGTTAACATTGTTTTTATGGCGACAGACTTAGGTAAGATGGTGGTAGCTAGCCAGAACTTAGAACAAGCCCTACCACCAACTAAACCGAACAGAAAAATCTGCCCCCACTGGGAATCGAACCCGGGACCTCTGCGTCTGAAGCAGGTGGTCTTACCACTAGACCACAGAGGCGGTTAATAAAAATCTTCATCTTCTTTTTTATCCGTATACATTATTATGACTAATGAGGGACCGATTCCGGTTCGTACATCTTGACAAATGAGGGACCGTAGTGAGCTGTTCACAGCTGTGAATTAATAAATTATGTATTCGATGTTTTTTTTAATGTTTGTAATACGGTTCGCGGATGCTCTGAAGCAATGTCAATATAAATTAATTATAGATTGAATTAATTAGAAGTAACAATTCGAATTAATCACGTGACTTTCCAGCAATAATACAAACTTTGGGTGCAGGTGCCACACTCCGCTTAGCCGGACTGTGGAAGCTACATACCTGATTGTGGATACCTAATTTTATTGGCTGTGGAAGCTGTACTCAGTAATATTTATGCGGCGCGCACGCACACACTGACAAAATTCGGCGCAACACCCCGCTAATCCACGCTGATTCCGCTATTTACTCTGTTTGTACCAGGGATGTTATGGATATCTGTAACCGTAACCGAAACTTTTGGATATCCGAAATAAAAAAATATCAGAAACCGTAACCGAAACCGGCATAATATTATTCCTATATCCGTAACCGTATCCATATCCGAAACTACATATCTTTAACGTCCCTAGTTTGTACCGACCTGGCTCTTGGCGCGGATGCGCACGTGGCCGACGACGGGCGCGCCGGGCTTGTGCAGCGGCACCTCGATGCTGAGGTTCGCGAGCGCGTCCTCGCCGAATATCGAGCGCGCGTACAGATTCGCCGCCATGAAGCCGCATTGACCGGATAACGCCTGCGAATGAACAATATATGCGATAGATTTTTGTTCTTTTTTAAATAAAAGTGACGAAGGCGACAACTGTAGCACACCATGTGTCACACTTATCGAGTCAATGTGCAGTTATACGATACCTTATCTGGCGTAAGGCACTTCATATTTGTGGAACTTAGTAAGTGCTCGAGGTATTCGCGTAGATCCGTGATGTTCGTGTTCACAGACACCTGAAAACAAATAACTTCCATCAGTGACATCAGAATTATATTCACAATACAACAATAGCACCAAATTGACACAATGTTGCTGGACAATACTGTTGCAACAATTTTTTGTATGCATAATTAGGCAGGTATTTAACCACAATCGCACCTGGTGTTAAGTGGGATACGGACTAGGATGGTACATATCTGTAAGTGCCTATTCACTCTTGCCTTGAAAAGACCCAAATTATATTTCTCGCTCACTTGACGCAATATTCATCATCATCATTTTAGAAACCAGACGTCCACTGCTGAACATGGTCATACAATGACGCATTATTGCCGGGCAATATTGTCGCTATATTTCTCGTAGAGTTAACGCAACTTTGCCGAGCAATATTCCCTCAACAGTTCTCGTTCACTTGACCCAATGTTGCCTGGCAATATTGTCGCTATATTTCTCGTACAGTAAACATAATTTTACCGGGCAATATTTCCGAAACAGTTCTTGTTCACTTGACGCAATATTGCCAGGCAATATTTTCCGTTATTCGCGGGAAATATTATCGCTATACTTCTTGTTTACTTGACACAATGTTGTCGAGCAATATTGTCGCTAATTTTTCTCTCAGTTGGCCCAATGTTGCCTGGCTGTCGCAAAATGAAGGTTTTCGCGTATGAAAAATCCGCCAGATGGCAAAACGTAGACGCGAGGTCCAAATGCTGCATGATTGGTTACTTTTGACATGACATTGACAGATATGTCAAAATCCACCTATCACGCAGCAGTCAGACCCCACATCCACGTCCCGCCATCTAGCGGATCTTTCATACGCAAAAACCCTCATTCCAATATAGCGGACAATATTGCCAGAATATCTCGCTCAGCCACATTATTTATCAAGAGCTTCATCACCTTGTTCTCCCACTCGAACTCGGCCCACATCTGGCGGAAGTCGGCGTCGCTGCAGGCGCAGGGCTGGATGTAGTCCACGATGTCGATGTGGATGTCGTTAAGCACCACCACGCCGCGGTCCATCGACGCGCCCGACACTTCGTATACTGCGGACGAATTTAACTTTACCATTAGAAGCAGTTGCATACGTTTTAAACCTTAAGGTTTTGGTTTAAGGTCTAAAATAGTTATTCTTACTATTCTCTTTAAAAAATTACATTTTCCTAATATTTTTAGACATTGACCGCGTCATATTCAACGTGTTCATTTGTTTATAAAACGGAGACCAGAGGGCTGAGTGTGAGTTTACATCAAACGTCAGCACTAGTGAGCGCGTTAAAAAATATATGAAAATTTTAGTTCTTGAAAGTTTCCGCTAGGGGTACTGTACAATCCCTCATACATTTAATGTCATTTTTTATGCACTCACTAGTGACGACGTTTGATGTAAACTCACACTTAACACTAGAGTACACGCGCGGACTACTATAGTAGACCAGGGTAACATTTTACGCTATAACTTTTTGAAAACTTGCGCCAGAGAGCTGGCATTCCAGGAAAGCCTCGTTTACTAAATTTGTCAGTAAGCCAGTAAAGCTTGGGTCGCTAGAGCCTGCGCACTTTTCTAAAATTGGCCGTCAAAACTGCGGGTCTAGTCAAAAGCCCGAAATCACTCGACAAAAAAATTATGAAAGACTTGTAACAAATGGATTTACACCGTGTACCAGGCAGTAGAAAGTCATGAATACTATGACAGATAAAAAACTAATCATATTTTTTCAGTCAATTTTGTTTTGTTAACATTGGTCTCAAAGTGCAATTTTGGTCCAAAAAATTTACAACTTTTAAATCTGTTTATAATGTTTGATCCCAAATAGTTATATAAAAAAACTTTGATTATAAATTAACTATAATAAACACTTTTATCATTTACATAGTAATTCTATTCATAAATTGCTTATAAACTGATTTACAGTGATTTTAAATTGGCTTACCAGAGTAGGCCGAGCGTGTATTCGTGTAAAAAAAGGGGCGCGTGTACTGCAGTGTTAACCCTCAGTAAAGCCACAAGTTAGGATTTGGCCATTCGTAACAAACTATGCGTCCAAGAATAACTAGTACTGAGTGTTATTTTACCGCAGCAAGTGATATCAAGAGGGTTCAAATATATTTTTGAAGATCACAGGAAAAGCACACACAACGACAAAAGGATCGAACCGTTGTTGATCGCAACACAGCGCTCTGTCATTAAGCAGCACACGCAATCATGTGACACTCTAAAATAATATTTGTCGCTTTGAGCCGCTTCGCACAGCGTAGAATGCCGCTTCACAGAGCGTAAAATGCCGCTCCACACAGCATAGAATGCCACTACAAATACCTACAGCCCGGCCTCTATAGTCAGGGCGTTATAGAACAGTTGTAGTAGTGCACTGATAGGGCATTGTATCAGGCCTGTTCATCTCCGCGAGTTTACATCGAAAACAAAACTAGGATACTATTCGACAAGGCCTCACATACGAGCGAACATTGACTCACGCACGCGTATTCTTGTGTATGATGGAAGAAAATAAAGAAAATGGTGTACTAAATACTGTGCAGTATTTAAGTGCCTAAATAATAATAAAAACACAATGTACTTTTTTAAGTTGCCTCAAGACACTGAGAGGTAAATAAGTAGTTAATATTATTCATGATAATTCATGTTAAATTATGTATTTCCTCCGCCTTTTTCCGTAGTTTGGTACCTCACGTCACATCATTTTACCGAAGTCAGCCCTATAGCTTCGGCGCAGTGCCAATCACTGACGTTTGTCAACAAAATGGTGCTTGACTCTTGAGACAGGCTAAATTACATCATATTGTTAATGACATTGAGCATACAATTTTTTAAATACCTTCGCGAAGTAAAACTTCTGTACGTAGTACTTATTATTATTCTGTGGTTTAACGCCCAATATACCCATCATCCTTTATGAGTGTTTCATGACTATGTAGAGATATTCGTATTCGTAAAAGTAGTATTCGTTGCATCACTAATAGACAGTTTGACACCATACCCCAATAATTCGAAACCACAACTGTTACAAAAAGACTCTTCATTTTGCTCTTGAAAACCTAATTTATTTGAAATTACCTGTAAATTTCGATTTTTGTTCGAATTGTAATTGAAAAAAGTAGTTTAATTGGGTTGACAAAATAGTGACGTCACTTGCTTGTAGAGCCATACAAAATCTATGGGACAGTTTCGTTTTGACAGTTTTAAAAAGTACGTCAATTGACTGTGGTGTCAACATGTCTATTATAGTTTAATATCTTAATATTTAATATCTTTGGACAATCTCACACAGCGCCATCTAGCCCCAAAGTAAGCAATTAATATGCTTGTGTTATGGGTGCTAGATTAACGGATATACTACTTATAAAATACATACATATTATTATACATAGTAACACCCAGACCCGCCACAGAAATTAAAATTCATCATTTCAATTTCTGCCCGGCCGGGAATCGAACCCGGGACCTCTCGGCATAGTAGTACGTTCTGAACCACTACACCAAACGGCCGACGAAGTTATAGCGCACTGACCGATGTTGCCGAAGATGATGCCGTTCTCGGTGGAGGCGACCTTGACGTGCGCCTTGATGGTGGCGAAGTCGCGCGGCGCGAGAACCACCGCCGCCGGCCGCTCCACCAGCCGCAGGTCGCCCAGCGTGGCCAGCTCCACTGTACAGTTCTGGAGAGTATCGTCTGAAACACACGCATAGATAAATACAAAAGACAATGCCGGAAATTGGCGTCTTTTTTTTTTCGCGCGGCCATCGACCAATCTTTGTTTTTTGATTACAAAATAGTGTAATAAACCAAACTTACTATGACATGTATACCTCTAAACTCAGTCTGAACTGAGTTACGAGCGTTAGAAGTTTGATGATTTACATACTAGATTTGCTTTTTGCGCGCAAGTTTTGTGTGAAATTGCAACAAAATAGTGACATTGTATGTGTAAACAAACAATACTATCCATTAAAGGCTCCAGACATCAGTGTGGAGTAGAATCAGCGCAACAAAAAAATAGCGGAATATTTTATTGCAATTTCTTACAAAACTTGAGCGCAAAAAGCAAATCTAGTATGTAAATCATCAAACTTCTAACGCTCGTAACTCAGTTCAGACTGAGTTTAGAGGTATACATGTCATAGTAAGTTTGGTTTATTACACTATTTTGTAATCAAAAAACAAAGTTTGGTCGATGGCCGCGCGAAAAAAAAAGGCGCCACCTTCCATACAAAATCTGGCAATGCCATTTGTCTGTTCCGGCGTTTCTTCTCAGCACTTGCCATATGTTTGTCTCGAAGCGCTGGTAGGGCCCAAAAGATAAGGAGACATGTAAAGTGCCCCATAAGGGCTACCTTTTCTTTTTTTATTATTTTCTATTGACGTTCATAAGTGCCACTTGTGGTCTAAACTGAATAAATATTTAAAAAAAAATAGATAGAAGTTAAGAGATACATGTAAATTCAGTTCGTTGGCTCGTTCGTTTCAGCCGAATGACGTCCACTGCTGGACAAAGGCCTCCTCCGAGGTTTTCCACAATGAACGGTCCTGCGCTGCCCGCATCCAGGCTCTTCCCGCGACCTTCAGCAGATCGTCAGTCCACTTAGTAGGAAGCCTGCCCACGGTACGTCTTCCAGCCAGTGGTCGCCACTCGAGAACTTTTCTGCCCCAACGGCCATCGTCTCTACGAGCTATGTGCCCCGCCCACTGCCACTTGATTTTAGCAATTCTGCGAGCTATGTCGGTCGTAAATTCAGTACAGGAAAAAAAATTCACGGTTTTGAATCATATTTGATCTGAATAAAGTTCATAATGTATTGGCTACAATTCAAACAGTTGAAGTGATGTGTATCGTAGGCTCAAATTCGCTATTGTATTCGCTCAGTGATTTTAAGACTGTAGTCTCCTACAAACACCGTAGACCGAATATAGCGCTAAGCCGTAGGGCGCATTACAATGCTTACTATAAAAATGTACCTTTGCGGTCTCTTTCAGACGTTGACAGGAACGTTTGACTTTGACATGAGACCGGAGACCGTACTCTAAAGGAACAGTCTCACTTCTCTGGCTGGGTCTACCCTGGGTCTGGAGACCCACATAATTCCTGGTTGACTTCACAGCGACATTTTACGTTGTACATCACAGAACAGAACTAAGGGCCTAGTGTGAGTTTACATCAAACGCGCTCACTAGTGGACATTAAATGTATGACGGAATGTACTATCGCCAACAGTGTTAACTGCCCATTGAAATCATCATCTCGTTCTATCGCAAAGAATCGCCATTTGATTAGAGCGAGAGCAAAAACGGAAATGGATAGTTAACAGTGTGGGCGTGTGTACAGCGCCCCTAGCGGAAAAGGTCAAGAACTAAAATTTTCATACATTTTTCTAACGGGCTCACTAGTGAGGACGTTTGATGTAAACTCACACTCAGCCCACTGATCATCCTATCGGTTAACGTTCAGCAGCGACCGAGGAAGAGTAAAGGCTTCCACAGACCAAACGCGGGTCAGAAGTAGTGCGGGTCAGTTGCAGCGCGGCTGAGGCACACTGAAAGCAGCGCAGTTTCAAAGCAGTTGCAACGCGGGCGGTTGTCAAAAATTTAAATATTCGAAAACCGCTTTCAACGCGCTGCTATCGCCCTGCGTCCGGTGAGTCATGCTAATATGGCCGCCGTAGTAATACAACAGCGCGGGCCCGCGCGCGCGCCGCTTCTGTCCCGCACCCGCGCCGCCTCGTTTGTCGTTCGGCAGTTGCAGTGCGGCGCGGTTGGAGCGCGGGCCCGCGTTCAAATTTGGTGTGACATACTTCAAAGAGTTTATCATATTACAACTTGCGCGGGCCCGCATTCAAACTGCGCTGCTACTGCCCCGCGTTTGGTCTGCCCAAGGCTTAAATGTTGATGATGCGACTGACCGGTCTGGTTGACGACGAGCACGTCGAGCACGATGTCGTACTGGTTGACGGCCACGATGGCCTCGGCATACACGGGGTCCGAGAAGCCCGTCAGCTGCGTCACCTTCGACAGCTTGCTGCTCTGGTCCGCCGACGTTGTGTTGCGACCTGAGACAAACAATACATACATGAACGTAGGCAAAACAAGTCAGTACAATATCAATTCTCCCAAGAAGTCCACGTAAGATATCGGTATCAATTTAAGGGAAAGGGGGTATCATTTATCATACATAAACATTCTTTTTTTTTTTGTTCTCACTCTCATTCCTGCTACTCTCATTCGGCATTCCTTATTTTCTCTACTGGCAGACGTTCGCGCGCGCCTACACTGCGGCACCATTTATTTCGCTCGTAAGAATTTTTCAGTGCACAGGCCTAACTCCCTCATGCCTATTTGGAAGTTTGGACATTTGATAATTGAATAAAGCTAATAAGACGAAAGTAATAGATGTATAATTGACACTGATTACGTACAAATTGCACAAAACTTTAAAACTAAATGGCAATGCCAGATTTTGTATGGAAGGTGGCGTCTTTTTTTTTTCGCGCGGCCATCGACCAAACTTTGTTTTTTGATTTCAAAATAGTGTTTTAAACCAAACTTACTATGGCATGTTTACCTCTAAACTCAGTCTGAACTGAGTTACGAGCATTACAAGTTTAATTATTTTCATACTAGATTTGCTTTTTGCGCGCAAGTTTTGTAAGAAATTGCAACAAAATATTGCGCTATTTTTTTATTGCGCTGATTCTGCTGCATACTGATGTCTGGAGCCTTTAATGGATGGTATTGTTTGTTTACACATAAAATGTCATTATTTTGTTGCAATTTCTTACAAAACTTGCGCCCAAACAGCAAATCTAGTATGAAAATCATCAAACTTCTGATGCTCGTAACTCAGTTCAGACTGAGTTTAGAGGTATACATGTCATACTAAGTTTGGTTTATTACACTATTTTGTAATCAAAAAACAAGGTTTGGTCGATGGCCGCGCGAAAAAAAAAAGACGCCAATTTCCGGCATTGTCTTTTGACATTTTGAGAAGGACGTTGGACAGTGAAGACTAAGAGCGCTTTCACATTAGGGCGTTAGTAGCGCGACAGCAGCGCGGAAGCGGCGTTTTTGTAATGTGATGGCGTATCATGCCGGGCGACCGGCCGACAGCCAACCCGGCGGTCGTGCATCTTTTACTGGCAAGGCATACTAAAAGCCGGCGGCATGTGTGGATACGCCATGAAGGGAGGCATCAGCTGTCACATAGTATGAAATTTTTGGCAGCGCGTTTGTCACGCTGCTAAATCGTCTAAATGTAAAAGCGCTCTTAATGACCTGATGATGATGACGTAATGTAACATAACCTAAGACCAGCAGTACAGACCTTGCAGCGCCCTGTTGAGCGAGAGCTCGAAGATGTCGTGGTGCTGGTGCGCGGCGCCGGCGCCGGCCAGCAGCGCGAACTGGATGCCCGTCTCCACCTCCACCTTCGGCTCCACACGCTTGCTCTCGCGCTCCTGGGGAAACAGAAGAACTACATTAAAATTCATTTATAAAGCAAATAGGCTTTAAAAAAGCGCTTTTACACGTCCCAATATTAACCCTAGCACTGCTTCGGGACAATAAATGGGCCAGTGCTGAGAAGAAGCAGCGCAAGAAACTCAGTCACTATTGTATTAAGCATAAAGCAGTCTCCGAAAGTCTGTTTACGTAGTTTTGAGTCTATCTGTCACCACGCTCATGATGGCTCACTTTGCGTAAAGGGATAGCAATAGTCAAAACTTCGGATAATGTTTTTCGGAGTTATCCTGCTGGCACCTTTAGGATACGCTAAAATTTGCACGGGTGTGCGGAGCAGTGCTCCGGACGTTCAACGCGGGTCTGCACTTTTCAGCGGACGTTTTAGCATAGGCCTTCAGTGTAAGACAGGACACACGTAATTCACAGGACACAATAACACTAAAGTATGACAAAAAATCGTTTCGAAGATTTCAAAAAAGTTACATAAAATATGTTTGAAATTTTTTTTTTTACTTTATTAGGGTAAAAAAACAATGTTGAATACAATGTTGCTTCATCATCATCATCATCATTTCAGCCACAGTACGTCCACTGCTGAACATAGGCCTCCCCCAATGACTTCCACATCGCACGGTTGGTAGCGGCCTGCATCCAGCGCCTTCCCGCTACCTTTATCAGGTCATCGCAATGTTGCTTAAGAAATCGAATTGCAAAAAATCAGTAAATTCAACATCAGCATCATTTACCACAGCTTACTTACTTTATATTATAACATAAGTCATTGAAATGACGGACAAGCAAAGAGTACAGGACATTATATGATGTCACTGACCTGTGAAGGCTCCAGCAGATGAGCGGCTGAGTCCGGCAGGGCCAACAGCGCGGATAACGCGGAGCGAGATGTCGTCAGCAGCGCGTCTACTACCACCTGTAGAAATTACCAGTTATAAAGTATGGCCAACTAGCAGCTATACAAAAGGTCGATACGACTGTCGAGTTGACAATATATTCTGTCTCTTCCCATCTTGTGTATTTGTCGTAATGTCTTGTTCTCCCACCAAAATATGTCAAAGTCAGACGGGTTCACCCATGACATTGGGTTTGTTTACATTTGGTATCGCTTCTCGTTGGCCGTACTTTAGATCGTTTCATCCACGAATACGCGCCCCACCAATTTTTGGTAGAGGGAAGCGCGTGATGCGGGGAGTTTGATCCGAGCAATCCAATCGTCATTATTGTAGTGTGCGTGTGTACTCATGGATGATTTAGCGTGTACCGATAACACTCAAACATTAGCGGAAGAATGGCGGGGCGCGTCTTCGTGGATGAAACGATTTATATACTCAACATCAAATAAACCGCACCTTCCGCGACGCGAACTTTAACGATTTTCTTCTGACACAATCATGGTGCCCCAACAATATTGGTGTTATTTGAAAGCCCAATAAATATCCTTAAAGAAAAACACATTTAATTTGTTAATAAATGATTAACATATACCATAAATGTGACTTGAAAAAATACCTCACTTTGGGCCCACCTATTCAATTCAATTNTTAATTGTTTAATAAAGTTCCGTATGAATAATAGCATATTAATATTTACATACATCTTCCACGAAGACTTTAAAAAACATTTTCGCGTATCTATTGTTGCATACTTATTTTAGGATATTATTTGGTGGGTGTCGTAGTGCAAGTTCAGTTGCGTAGTTTTTCCACGAAACTTTTGTGCTGGTAATTTTGTGCAAGTCTAGATGCCTAATTCTTCCACGAAGCTTTTATTCACATTATAATATACAGGGTGTTAGGTAAATAGGTNGTAGCAAGTTTTAATTTCATGCTTTGGGGCAGGTGTAAAGAGCTGCCTGTCATTAAGAACTTATTATTAATAAATTTATTAGTGTCGAAAAAGACAAAATTGTCGCTATGACGAACAGTCAAATTATATAATAAAGTATTCAGTAAGTGAATACTTTTGTTATTATCTGAGGAGCCATTTTAACAGTATGGCAGGGCACAAATAAATATCTTTTCAACATCAATGTTTAGCAACATGACATTACATAGGTCGGTCTCTCAGAAAGTTTCCCGGAAACAATTCTAGCATAGAAATGTGGGCTATTTCTAGTTGTTCCGTTTTCTAATTATTTATTTGAATAAGTATAGACAACAGAATCAAATAAGGTATATTCTTTCATGTCTTTTGTAATATTTCCAATACGATAATGTTATTGTTTATGGAATAAATGACTATGACTATGACTATGACTATGTCGAATTATCATTTAGTGCTATATTAGGTATGATTGTATTTTTCTAATTTGCGATGAAAACTGTGGAATTGTTGAGCCAAGTTTTGTAAATAAATCTAAGAAATGTTTATTTACAGTATTACGGATTGACGAAGTGTGCACAGGCCTCCCTCTAAGGTGGACCGACGATCTGGTGAAGGTAGCGGGAAGAACCTGGATGCGGGCAGCGCAGGACCAGTCGTCATGGAAATCCTTGGGGGAAGCCTTTGTCCAGCTGTGGACGTCATTTGACTGAAAGTGCTGAAATAAACGAAAGAATGATTAAAAGTTGGGGAGGCCTGACTTGACTTACTTGACTTATGGTCCTATGTCCCCTAGATGGGGCAGAGGGCGTCCACAACAGTCCTCCATCTCGTTCGGTCTTGAGCTTGGGGAGGCCTGATATTTCTATATACAAATAAGGAAACCGTTCGGATTTTATTGGATATCATGATCGATGGTTGCAGGAAGGCGCTGAATGCAGGCCGCTACCAACCGCGTGATGTGGAAATCATTGAGGGAGGCCTACGTTCAGCAGTGGACGTTCTGTGGCTGAAATGACGATGATTATTTTGGATATACTACTAGCCTATTTCTGACTACATTATTATAGAATCCAGGACCTTCGCACCATAAAAGGCTAATGTTTTAAACATATAACTACGGAAGTGTACATTGAGCGACTCTATGCACTCGTATGAGCAATTTTCTTCGACCTATACTCAACCTGCCTAAGCGCGACCATTATTGTGCACCGTGCAATTATTAACAATAACTTGCTTTACAATAATAATTTACACAGATTATCTGTTTACTTATTATATTTTTATCTGATTATACCCATTAACACCGGTAACAGTTTATTGCTTGCAAAACAATCATAGTACTTATTTTTTGCATTATGTATTTTAATGGATCTAAACCATAGCGCGTCAAGAAAAACTATAATCATTCATAAATAAACCATTATCTTTAGTTCTTGGATGCCGATAGGTAACAACAAGCCAATTACTAAGCAATTAATTTATATTATTTGTAATCTTTAGGCTAGGTTACACCATCTTACTTTTACTTTGACAAACGTCAAAAATCTGTCAAAAATCACCGGTTAAAGTTACAGCTAGGCCCAGAACAGACGGTGAAACGCAACTGCGACGCAACTGCAACTGCTAGTTACTTTTAAGTTGCATCTAAGTTTCTTCCATAGCGTCCGTTGAGAGACCACACATGACGCGACCAGTTTGAAACTTTCCGTTTCAGTTTTATTCATCAGAATCATCAGAAAGTTGCACTTTCGTTGCAGTTGCGTTTCACCGTCTCTTCTGGGCCTTACGGTCAAAGTTAGGTGGTGCAACTCAGCCTTAATCTTTTGGATCAATACAAGAAGTATTGATCTTACATTTTGAAGGTCTATTTAATTTTGGCGGGTCAGTAACACTGACGCATTCTAATTAGAAGTTTCAAAGACTAAAGCTGGGTTGCACCATCTTACTTTAACTTTGACAAACGTCAAAAATCTGTCAAAATCTATACAAAAAACACCGGTTATCATCATAGTTACGGTCAAAGTTAGGTGGTGCAACTCAGCCTAAGATAAGCCTATTTATAGGAAATGAAAGGGCGATAGGATAGAAGGGACAATAGGAAACTCAATTTAATTTTTGTATTAAATTAGCGTTTGCAAGATGAGATTTTTCGAAAGACTATTTACAAAAGAAGAGAGCTAAAACTATCTTAAATTGTTCATTTTTGGTTCTAACCTAGGTTTTTTCTTTTAATCAAACTGTAATTTTATGTTTGAACCAAAGTTGTTGTATGTTTGAAAATTTTTCGTACCTATATTTATCAATACTAATATTATAAAGAGGAAAACTTTGTTTGTTTGTTTGGTTGTAATGAATAGGCTCAAAAACAACTGGACCGTTTTTAAAAATTCTTTCACCATTCGAAAGCTACATTATCCACGAGTAACATAGGCTAAATTTTATTTTGGAAAAAAAATAGGGTTCAGGGGTCCACGCGCGCGAAGCCGCGGGCGGAAAGCTAGTACAAAATATTTTCCTTATCAAAAAATTGCTATTCACTAATAAGAAATAGGTAAGTATTTATAAATATTTATTTAGCTCAATACATCTGTAGGAAAACATACATTGTAGCTGGATGTAATTTTTTATAATCTTATCGATTAACGATCCAATTCAATATAACATGTCATCCATATTTATAATTTACATATAAATGCAAAAGTAACTCTGTCTGTATGTTAACCTTTTCACGTTTAACCACAGAACCGATTTATCTGACACTTGGTAAGTATAGGCGCAGACCACCGAATTTTAGTTGGCCGATAGGTTCGGGCTGTTGATCAGTATGGAGATGTATGAAAGTGCGCACATTACACCGATTTGGTATCGGCCGATTCAAAAATCTAAATCAAAAATATTTATTCAGTTTAGACCATAAGTGGTACTTATGAACGTCAAAATATAGTAAATAATAAAAAAGAAAAGGTAGCCCGTATGGGGCACTTTACATGTCTACTTATCTTTTGGGCCCTACCAGCGCTTCGAGACAAACATATGGCAAGTGCTTAGAAGAAACGCCGGAACAAACTACAATCTCGGATTCTTCATACAAATTAGAATGGGGCCCAACTATCGGCCAACTAAAAGTAGGTGGTCTACGCCTAGGCCTGGAGATAGTTTCATACTCAGTAGACCTAAGATACGCACCGCGATAAGCTTTTATCGTGCCATTTTATGGATTTTACGTAATAAGATGATTGCCGTCTAAAATCATCGATAAAATTTTATCACGGCACGCATCCTAGCCCGGCTGGAAACACATACATGTATTTATGTTACAGTCAAAAATCATAATCGGTCAAAATTCAAAATTGTACCAATCAGTCCAAACTTCATACATTATACCATCGTTCGTTTCAGCCAAATGACGTCCACTGCTGGACAAAGGCCTCCCCCAAGGTTTTCCACAATGAAAGGTCCTGCGCTGCCCGCATCCAGGCTCTTCCCGCGACCTTTACCAGATCGTCGGTCCACCTAGTAGGAGGCCTGCCCACGCTACGTCTTCCAGCCCGTGGTCGCCACTCGAGAACTTTCCTGCCCCAACGGCCATCGTCTCTACGAGCTATGTGATGATTGATGATTTCCAAGTAATGTTCACTAATCATAACACTTTGTATTCGACTGATTTTTTGCAACTAAAAGTGATTTTGACTAACACCCTTGGTCAAAACCACTTTTTACTGAACAAATCAGTCAAAAGTGATATTGACTAAGGGTGTTAGTCAAAACCATTTTTGACTGATTTTGCAGTCAAAAGTGGTTTTGACTGATTATGAATTGTGACTGCAACATAATGTATCTTTATCCCGATTTTTGAAAAGTAGAGACGTTCGCCTAAAGTCTAAAAGTGATATTATAGAAGCGCGTGAAGCCGCGGTTAAAAGCTAGAATATAATTAAATATACGATAACTTGATAATAACATGATTAATGATCTCTGGGAAATACCACTATGTGAGAAATTAAGGCTCTACTTGAAATTTTAATGAAACAAAATCATCTATGTTATTTGTTAACTCATTATACTTCCTTCTTTTTGAATCACGATTTT